CTCAGCCACGGCAGAGGCAGAGGCAGGCCTCCCGCTCCCGGCACTGCTCCCCTTCTGCTCCCGCAGGACTCTGCCCCTTCCTCAGGGCCCCTGACACAGGGATGGCTCCTACGGCCACGTCGGCACTGCAAGACATCACCTCCAGGGTCTCAGGCGGCTGGACCAGGGGACACCTGACCCCAGAGATGCCAAACACAGGCAGGGGGTTTGGACATGGGGCAGAAATGGATGCTGACGAGGGCCTGGACTCCACTGTCACAGAGAACCAGGGACGGGGTGAGGAGCCCCAAATGCCAACACTGCCCAATCTGCATTTCCAGCCCCACAGTGTCTTCTTTCTGACACCAAATGTGTGGTGTCCTTTCCAACACCAACCACTCCTCCAATTCTGCAGCTCCAGCTGGTGACCTGCGATTCACTCCTATTCTGACACTAACTCCCCGGCTTGGGGCAGACCCTACAAGTTCCACAAGTTAAGGGCTCAGTTCCACAAGACTGCCCCACTTCAAACGCCAGCCACAATGGGATCCCCAGGCCACCCACACTGCTGCCCACTGACTACAAATCTGGGGGTTTGATAGAATGCATCACAGAACTCAGGAAAGCATTCCACTTCCTATCACTAGTTTATTACAAAGGACACAACTCAGGCACAGCCAGATGGACAAGCGCACAGGGCGAGGTGTGGGGACCGGGTGGAGCCCCGATGCCCTCTGGTGCGCCACCTTCCCAGTACCTCACCGTGTTCACGAGCCCAGAAGCTCTTGAGCACTGTCGTTGTGCGGGTTTTTGTGGAGGTTTCACACATGGGAAGGTTGACTCAATCACTGGCCACTGGTGACCAACTCTTCTCAGGCCTCTCTCCCCTCCCAGGAGGTAGGGGTGGAAGGACGGGTGCAAGAGAAAGTTCCTATTTATAGAGAAATAGAGAAAGCGCTATTCACAGCTGCTCCTCCCTGGCACCAGCCTCCATTCTGGAGCTGTCTAAGGGCTCAGCCACCAGTCAGCTCATTAACACAGACGACACCATCACTCCAGAGATGCCCTGGGTTTTAGGAGATATGTGCCGGGAACGGGGCACAAAGACCAAATACATATTTTTTACGGTACCACAGCCCTGAGCTCACTGAGTTCAGACTCCCACAGCCACACTGGTTCGGGTTTCTTTAGGTAGCTCAAACTCACTCTCTTTCTCCTCACGAGGTCTGCCCTCTTCTACGCCCCCTCTCTTGATGCGTGGCTCCCAGGGACCCCTCCCAGTGGGCTCTGGTCTCTAGTCATGTCCTTCCCACCCCTAGAGTGAGCTGCTTCCATTGGACCAAGCGATCCTGGGCTAGAACGTTCTGTGAGCCTAAGGAACAAAGTCCAAGTCCTCACTGGGTCACGCAGGCCCAGGGCACCCCACTTCTTCTCCAGCTTCACCCGCCAACTCCCAGACGCTCCACGGATGGACTGATTGTTCCCGCGCAGAGCACTGTCTCCTGCACGCCCCTTCTCCGCCTCTCTTCATGCCCTTCCCTCTGCCTGGAAGGTCCTTACTGCTCCTGCTCTGCACGTGTCAATCCCTTCCTAACGCTTAAGACTCTGTGTGGCTAACCTCCTCCAGGAAGCCATTTCCGAATCCGAGGGAGGCTGGAGGATGTTCTTTGCATTCCCCTGTCTTGGCTTAGAAAATACACCACGTCACATGGGGCATCTGTCTGTGGGCCCGTCTGCCTCACCGACACAAGCTCAGCAGGGCCAGAACTGTCTTCCTCATGTTCCCACAAAGCCAGGCGTGGGCCTGACCCAGACGGTTGAGTGCATGCCCAGGGCCAGTTCTGGAAATGGAAGCTGAGTCTGGAGAGGGAATACGACACGCTGACTAAACTACCCAAACGAAACTAAAATGGGAAACCCCACCATGCATGGACGTGAGGAAATAGGTTTAGAGTTGGAATGGATTTTCAGCACTGCTGGCAACCTCTCTAAAGTGACCTGACTCCAAGAAGAGTGAAAAACTTGACACATAAACTGTCCATCCTGTAACCTAGTAATTCCACTTTGGGAAAAACATTTAAGTTAAAAAAAAGAGAGAGATTCATAGCAGCACTCTTTTGAACAGCTGGAAACAGGAACAGCCAATGACAGGGAGATGCAGGAGGACTGCTGACCCCGCCATGGTGGGAGGCCATCTGGTTATTAAAAAGGCAAACTGGTAAAACGGGGCTGCCCGGTGGCACAGTGGTCAAGTTCGCGCACTCCGCGTCAGTGGCCCCGGGTTTGCCAGTTCGGGTCCCCGGTGTGGACCTGCACACCGCTTATCAAGCCATGCTATGGCAGGTGTCCCACACAGAGAATGGAGGAAGATGGGCAGAGACGTTAATTCAGGGCCAATCTTCCTTAGCAAAAAGAGGAGGATTTGTGGCAGATGTTAGCTCAGGGCTAATCTTCCTTGGGGGAAAAAAAAAGGCAAATTGGTAGAAAATAGGAAGATGAGGTTTCTACGAAATAAATTTGAGAGAAAATAGCAGAATATGGAAGTAATTGAAGAGTCCAAAAATAAGGATGGTAAATTATGATATGCAATGTGATGGAACGTTATAAGGCTATTTTAAAATGTTCAAGAATATTTAAGGACATCAAAAATCACTCAAAATATAGTTAGTGGAAAAAGCAGACTATAAAACAAAAAGTCTAAATTAGTTTTCTAAAAAAGTACCATACACATGTACATATATTTTTTAAAATTACAGGAATGTAAAGCATCCAACACAGGTTTTTCTGTAAATTAGATAACTTAACAGTCATTTCTAGATCTTTAGAGATAATGGTTAAGGTTGCTAATTATAAAAGGCAGAAGAGGTGAACCTTCGAAAGTAGAGTTTTTAAAAAATAACTATAATATTTAATTTAAGCCCTCAGTTAGGATTTTCCCCCAAAACTTCCTCTAAATGCCACATGAGAAATAAGCAAAGTACTCTGTTCACTTAACAAATGAGAAAATTACAGAACTAGAACAAATAATTCTCACATTTATATAGAACCACAAGAGAGCCCGAATAGCCAAAGCAATCTGAAGAAAGAACAAAGCTGGAGGTATCACGCTCCCTGATTTCAAACTATACTGCAAAGCTATAGCAATCAAAACAGAATGGTACTGGCACAAAAACAAACACACAGATCAATGGAGCAGAACACAGAGCCGAGAAACAAACCCATGCAGGTATAGTCAATTAATCTATGAGAGAGGAGGCAAGAACGTGGGGAAAAGACAGTCTCTTCAATAAATGCTGTTGGGAAAACCAGACAGCCACATGCAAAAGAATGAAACCAGACCACCATCTTACATCGCACACAAAAGTTGACTCAAATGGATTAAAGACTTAAATGAGAGACCTGAAACCATAAAACTCCTAGAAGAAAACACAGGCAGGAAGCTCTCTGATGTCACTCTTAGCAATGTTTCTTTGGATCTCTCTCCTCAGGCAAAGGCAACAAAAGCAAAACTAAACAAATGGGACTACATCAAACTAAAAAGCTTTTGCACAGTGAAGGAAACCATCAACAAAACAAAAAGGCAACCTACAAATGGGAGAAGACACTTGCAAATGATATATCGGATAAGGAGTTGATTTCCAAAATATATAAAGAAGTCATACAACTCAACAATAAAACTACAAACAATTGGATTAAAAAGTGGGCAGAGGACCTGAACACATTTTTCCAAAGACATACAGATGGCCAACAGGTACACGAAAAGATGCTCAACACCACTAATCACTAATCATTTCCTCAGGGAAATGTAAATCAAAACCACAGCGAGATATCACCTCACACCTGTCAGACTAACTATTATCAAAAAGAGATAATAAGTGTTGGCAAAGATGTGGAGAAAAGGGAACCTTCACGTACTGTTGGTGGGAATGTAAATGGATGCAGCAACTATGGAAAACAGTATGGAGGTTTCTTAAAATATTAAAAATGAAGGTACTATACAATCCAACAATTTCACTTCTGGGTATTTATTGGAAGAAAACAAAAACACTAATTTGAAGAGATATACGCATCCCCATGTTCACTGCAGCATTATTTACAATAGCCAAAATATGGAAGCACATAAGGGTCCATTGACAGATGAATGGAGAAAGAAGATACAGTATATATACACAATGGAATACTACTCAGCCATTAAAAAGAATAAAATCTTGCCATTTTCAACAAGGTGGAGGGACCTAGAGGGTATTATGCCAAGTGAAATAAGTCAGAGAAAGACAAATGCGGTATCATCTGACTTATATGCGGAAATCTAAAAAACAAACGAACAAACAAAACGATACAGAAACAGATTCATACATACAGAGAACAAAGTGGTGGTCACCAGAGGGGAAGGCGTGAGGGGTGGGCGAAACAGGAGAAGGGATCCAGAGGTACAAACTTCCAGTTTTAAAGTAAATAAATCACAGGGGTTTAATGCAGCATAGGGAAGACAGTCAATACTACTGTAATGACATTGTATGGTGACAACGGTAGCTAGACTCAATGTGATGATCATTTCGTAATGTATGAAAACATCAAATCACTATGTTGTACACCTGAAACTAATGGAATACTGTATGTCAATTATGCTTCAATTAAAAATTAAATTAAAAAGTGAGAAAATGAAACCTCATAGGAGCCAAATTTCCTCAGCCCAAAGGTGGCCTTTCACCCCTCTCTGTAAAGAGGGAGTGAGGTGTGTGTTTACCTCGGAGGCTGAGGGGCCAGGGCAGGGATTACGGATGCAAGCCAGGATGCCACCACAGAGCGGGATGACTCTTTAAAGGCTTCGGTGACCAGAATTAAGTAGATCTTAACTTCCTTTACCAGGACAAACAGATTCCTCTGATAACCTGTTAGAATATACTCATTGGGCCGTGCGGGGACCCTAAGTACTGAGACACACAAATAAGAACCACCGTCACCTCGGGGTCAGCATACACATCAGTCAGGCCATCAATCCACGTAATCGTCTACCTTACCTCACGGGCTCTTCTGATTATTTTGTCATCCACGTCTGTAATTCCCATCACCATGATGATGTTGCAGCCAAAAACCCTGGTTAGGATCCTTCGAATTATATCAAATCTAACATAGGAACTGAAAGAAAAAAAATACATTAGGGCATCTTTAACACAGCATGTCATCATTGTGGTCTTTAAAAAAGAGCATGCTACGCTCCGCTTCAGGGGCCCAGGGTTTCACCAGGTAGGATCTGGGCACGGACATGGCACCGCTCATCAGGCCACACTAAGGCAGCATCCCACATGCCACAACCAGAAGGACCTACAACTAGAATATACAACTATGTACTGGGGGGCTTTGGGGAGAAGAATAAAGAAAAAAACAAGAAGACTGGCAACAGATGTTAGCTCAGGTGCCAATCTTTAAAAAGAAAAAAAAAAGAGTGCGTTACATTTTAACAGCTGCTGCCTAACTACAAGTGTGTGATACAACTGATAGCTCGAGGGCAGCTAGCTTTTACTGACTGGCCCACACTGGTCCTCTCAAGAAACTGGCAAGGGTATTGCCTCAATTTCAGGACACGATATTAGCATTTTTAATCTTAGAGCTGTTAAGTGCGTTTTCATCATTTAATTGTACAAAAATTCACTCGTAATGCGGTCTTACTGAGCAGTTAAAATACTGACAACTTTTACTGTTCTTGCTCATGTTCTAGAATAACTGTAATGTTTCACTAGGACGAAATAAAGGGGAACAACAACAAATCAAGAGAAGTGCATCCTATGAGAACTGTCTGAGAAGACCCCTCAGAAGCGTGTCCACATTGTGGAATATTAAAACCCAGCTCACTGACAGACCACACCGGGCTAACTTAGACTTGTAGAACCATTAAGATCTCAAGAACCTGGTTTCCCATAAGAGCAACCTTACAAATGCAGGTCAGCTAATCTCATACTTATCTCTGTCATCATACAGCCGCTCTGAATCTGACTTCATAAAGTCACTTTCCCTTGAAAACGAGCCTCATTATTGAACTCCTTGAACCTCCCACACTCACCCACTCCAAACACAGCTGAGCCCAAATCTCCCTTCTAGTAATGAAACGACCCCTGAAACTCCTTGTCAAGATATTTAACCTTTTCAGGTCTCAGGCTGCTCATTGATAAACTGGGCAAAATTCCGCTGTCCCACAGGGTTACTGGATGTGATCTCAGTGTCTGTGCAGCACACTTTCCAGCGAGCACGGGCTATTATTACCATTATTATCATTATGCCCTTCATTCATCTTGAGACTCTATGAGAAATGAGATTTAAGAGAAAAAGTTATCAGGAACTTAAAGTGAAAACAAGAGTAAAGTCACGCTTGGCCCAGACGGGCTCAAGGGCTGCAAGGCCCCAAGACGTGGAAGTGGCACCTCGGAAGCCCAGGTGCAGGCCCGGCTTGGCCCAGCTGCCTCGTCTATCACTTCCCAGCTGTGGGACCTGGGGCGGGTTCCATCAGCCCTCGGCAGTGCAGTGTCCCCATCTGTAACTTGGGGATGATAGCACCTCCACCTGGCATTGTTAGGAGCATGACACTGGCTGGTGTTGGTAAAGCACTGAGAACAGTGCCTGGCACACAGCAAGTGCTATCCGTGTCTGGAAGTATATGTCTTTTTACAATAGAGGCTGGTGCGGCTACCTGGGAGGGAAGCGGGGTGGGGGCAGGAGGCCATGAGCCTGAAGAGTAAGCAGGGACAGACTGTCAGGACCACGGAGATGTCCTGAGGATACTGGACCTTGCCTTAAGGGCAGTGGAGCCACGCCCGACCATCCCTGCCCCGAGACCTCACACCTGCTTCAGAAATCTTGTGGTACGCAGCGTGTCTACCTCGCAGGGGCATCGTGAACTGAATGACTCTTCTTGAGGAATGGGTTTCTCTCACCACCAAGACCTCCAGAGATGCTCTCCTCGAGTGGGGGGCTGGGGCAGGGAGTGATGAAGGGGGACCCAGAGGAGGCTTTGGGGTGTCGGTAACATGCTGTTTCTCTTTCTGAGACCAACTGGACACATATGATCTGTATTCTTTTCTGTATTTGTTTTGTTTTGTTTCTGCTGAGGAAGATCGTCCTTGAGCTGACATCTGTGCCAATCTTCCTCTATTTTGCATGCCGGTCGCCACCACAGCATGGCCACTGACATGGTCTTTTCTGGATTTGTAAGGGCAAATACGAACTGTAACTGAGAGGCCTGATTCTCCTGGCTGAAAATAAGGGAGCAGACTCTCCCTCACTCCCCCTTTCTTTCTGAATTTCCTCAGTCCTTTTAAAATGTGTGTAAATGTTTTTAACGGCTAAATAAGCCTCTCTCATCATTCTCCCAACTCAGCGAAGTGTCAAGGACCTGGGAGCCATCTCCCTCAAGTCACGGGGAAGGCAATGCTCTGTGACGGGAGATGGGCCGGACCTGTCACCTGACTCCAAACTGCCAACCTGCCTCAACTAGAGAGCTGTATCCACTTAGCTCTGCAGAAGAGCGGGATTTCTTTCCGTCTTTGCAATCCTTTTAGTGGGTTGCCTGTGACTGCATCCCATTCTGACTTAATACTCATTCAATAACAAAATTGTTTTCTCTTCTGCCTTTGTGGAAAGGTTTTCCAAGTGGAGGGATTTTTGTTTTTAATATTTCCCCAACATAGTTTATACATCAATAAAGAGGTCATTTTTATAATTTTATAATAAAAGGCTTTTTATAGTTAATGGTAGGTTAGCCCAAAATGAAAAAAAATGATTCCTAGACCACTTATTTTGTTCTAACAAAACACAAGAAATGTTTGGACCTTGCCAGGTGATACATAATTTTGTAAAAAGTGTACTGAGTAAAGGTAGCTTTTTACTTTTAGGCTGGTCTGAAGAATAACAAGTTTAAAAGATGTACAAGAGAACACACAAAATATCAGGAAGAGTGGTAATTTTGACAAACATATGAGGCAGTGGGGCTCATGGTTAGGAGGCTGAGAGAGCAAGCAGCTGGCAGTCGGCCATAGCAGGCTCCACCCCAGCTCCAGCCGTCCTAAACGTGGGACCTCAGGCATGTCCCTTATCCTCAACAACGTGGAGGCCTCACCACACGGCACGCTTTAGGCACTGTGCGAAGCAGGACTTCAAGCGCATTATTTCATAAAACTGAGAAGACTCAAAAAGATGGGTATATCATCCCCAACTCAAAGATGAAGAAACCACTACCGGAAGCAATAAAGGGGCTTGTCCAACGTTGGGCAGTAAATAAAAGGTGGGGGCCAGAAATAACTCCTGACCAGCTGACTCCAGGGCCCCTGCAAGGGCCTCATCTTGCTAAACCCACCAAGAAACACCTAATTCCAAAACAGGTCACTTTGCACTGCTTCTCACTGCCTCCCTGAGTTTCCTCACCCGTGAAATGGGTCTAAGTGCTTAGAACTGCTACAAGAACCAACTGAGACTGTAACACACACGCTTCCCACAATACCTGGAATACAGTCATTATTCAGCATTCTCAAGTTGTCACTTGAGAGATGGAAAAAACCTGCAAAAGGCTCTTTCTTTTCAAAATAAGTGGTTCCTTGAAGTGTGAGAATTCAAATTCAGGAAACTCACCAAGCATGGCCAAGGTGTGCATGATCGTAGACAGTTGGTCCACAGCTATACCTAGGAACAAAGTTAAAATCCACGTGAAACATATTGCAAGAAAGGACACCACATTCTGCTCTGATTATCATACAACCATGTCTTTCGTTTAAGTAACCACTTTTGGAGAATGCATAGCCGGGGTTCTAGAACTTGAATAGCTTAATTCACAGCCAAACCCTGTGAATTCACTGCGACTAACCTACAGCGTCTTTAAAGGTGGCTCCAATGTATTTTATTACTTACTAAGTGCTTTTCCGCCTGAGAAACCAACCCTGCTTTCAACAGCGCCGCGTCCTGGAAAACGCTCGGCGACAGTCCTTCTCGCCCCACCTCCCCCAGCACGCCCCCCATCCCCGGGGACTACCAGGAGGTGGCGTCCGCGCTGCCCACGATCAAGGGGTCCTTCCTCCGGGTGCGGCTGTTGTACACCTTGACCCCCGTGTCGTAGCCGGCAGGCTGCAGCCAGCCCTGCCCGTGCGCCTCCGACGCGGCCCGACGCGGCCCCGGGCCCAGACCCAGGCCCAACGCCGCCCGGAGAAGCGGGGCGCCCACGAGGGCCCCGCGCGAGCTCTGCATGACCGGCCCGCGGACGTCACTCGCGGCCGCCCGGGCGGCTCTGCAGCCCGCCAAGCCCTCGCTGGGAGGGGCCAGCGAGGCCACGCCCACCCGGAAGAGGGTTCGGCCCCGCCCATTCCGGAAGAAGACTCGGCCCCGGCCCGCCCGCCCCGGAAGAGGCGGTCAGGAAGCGGCGGTGGTCAGGGCAGAGGGCGAGGGCGGAGGCCTCTGGGGGAGGCGCGCTCTCCTGCCGGCGGGAGGGCTGGTGTCTTCGTCCTTGCAGACGCGGTACGAGCCATCCCCACCCGCGGCGTGCGGACCCGCTGCCCGCTCTTCGCCTGCGTGCGAAGCACGTTTCACCCCAGCGCGCACACGGCAAGTTTGCATCTCAACACACACCCAGAGCACGTTTGCACCCCAGGACGCACACGGCAAGCTTGCACTTCAACACACACCCAGAGCACGTCTGCACCCCAACACACACCAAGAGCACCTTTGCACCCCAGGACGCACACGGCAAGCTTGCACCTCAACACACACCCAGAGCACGTTTGCACTCCAACACACACTCTCCGGATGAAAGACCAAAGCTAGGAAACCGCTCACTCATCAAGTACCCGTAGTAGGAAATATCTATTTGGGATTCATTTTAAGGTTAAAAGTTCTATCGTGTTGTCTCTTGAGAACAAAAACATTCTGAATTGCGGTTTCAATGGGACTTTTTAAAGGCGAATTCACTTGAAGTTACTTTCAAATTATCTTGACAAACGTGCCCCTGTTGATATCTTGCAAAACACTGTCTCAAAAAAAGGAAAGAAATCCCCTTTGCTTTTGCAGTCTTCAAAATAGCAGAGGTTCCTCAATTCTTTTTTTGGTTTGTTTTGGTCGTTCTACTGAAAGCAAAGGTTTAAGTAGAGACAAACCAGTATGTTTCCAGGGCATTTAAAAGTTTTTTTCAAGATCCCTGGGGTCCAACTCTGCAATTCTGTTTCAAGCTAAACTGTAGTCTTATGTAAGTCAATGCACTAAAATGTTAGAACCTCTTATTCAGAATTAGGAGTCGCTGCATCAATGCTAAGCTTGTGCTCCTGACTACTTAAAGTTCTACTGGAGTATATTATCCCTTGCTCACTGCCTGCATACTTGTCTTGATGTTATTTTGTAACTGTCTCTTGTTTCTAGTACAATGTGTGTATTTCTCTCCCTGAGAACTTTAGATTGTAAATTCTTTTGAGTGTCTCGCTGTACTCAGCACTAAATTCACAAAAAGGGTGTTGAACTTTTGCTGAATTCATCTCTGATGAAATCTACCTGTTGGGTGGGTGGGAGGAAATTTTGGTAGTAAAATATCTGATAAAGCTCCGGTCCAGATATTAGATGTGCCAGTAAACTAAGAAAATAAACAAAAGCCTTGATAGTGTTCGTGAGAACACACAGAAATCAAGGAAAAAGCTAGAAGTTTTGAAAACAGACTTATTAACACTAAAGACCAAATCCTGCACATGAATCTGGATCGCTGGCATGTTTGAGTTGACCACAGAAAATCATGACTTTTAAATTAACAATGGTACCTTGTCTTCAGAAAACTGGTCTTGTAATGTGTTCAGCCCTTTGACTTATAGCAATCCTACCATTTCTTAAGTCTCGCAGGCATCATCAAAACAGTGATAAACATAACCCATTATTTAATGATGGTTAAAAATATGATTCCTTTTGCAGGTTGAAGATTAAGGTAAAGTAAAAGAGACCGGGAAGATTTATTAGCATATCTACCAAAAAAACCCAGAATCTGTTAATTTGAAGTGACTCCTCCTCCATCTAGGTCAGAACAAGGAAGTGTATTAAAATTAATGATTACAAAATATTTCGAATACCATTTCTTAGTCCTAAATGACAAGAACAAAAATAAGTTCTCAATATTACAATTTCTTTCAAGGCAAAATCTTGTAAATCTATAGTAGAATAGATAAAGTAACATACTCTTTAGGGCATTTCAAGTTTGAGATGAATGCGTTAGGATTTATTTTTTAAGCACTTCAAAACATAAAGAATTTTATGTTCATCTCTTATCTTTTACTTCCATAGGTTTGAGCATCTCCAGTTTAACTAGAGATATAATTTTAGAAAAAAAGCTTTAATATCTATTTTTGCAGCGCATTTCAAAGAGCAAAACTGAAACTACCAAGATTCTTTAATGTATCCTCAAAATTAAACAATTTTCCTTAGTGGCATATTTTAAATCCACAATCATAGTTAATTATGTTTTAGCTATTGGTCTTCTAACCTTGTTCAGAAAACTGTGAAGTCATCGGTATATATTTTAACAATTCTGTAAAGCTAATAAATAAAATATTTTCTTAGTTTTTATTCCAAGGGGGAAGTTAAATATCTAATAGAATGTAAGCTCCTTATTCACCACTGTATCCCAGTGCATAGAACAGCAGGTAGCAGCTCGTGGTGGGCACTCGCTAAGTATTTCTTGTGGAATGAATAAGATGCCTTTTTGTTTTATGCATCAGTGAAGTCCATGAAAACATGAGAAGAATCATTATTCGGATAGTATCGTGATTTTTTGAAAAGACAACCTAAGTCAAACTCTGGCTTGATTATCGTTGAAAGGGGCAAATGATTTCTAACCTTTATTCTTAAATTCAGATAAACACTACTCATTCCAGACCCAATTAATTCAAGAATTAAAAGAACCTCTTTCTTTCTTGCTATTGTAATTTAAAATTACTTATATGCTCTTAAGAGGAAAAGGCATAATGTTTCTTATTCACCTTTGTGCCTTCTTTCTGTTCTATTCCGTCTCATTTCCACATAATGTCATAGTGTTAGTCTTTTGTGCAGACTAGTGGCCAATAAATTTTATTGTATGAAATGAAATGAAACTTTACTCATCATTTGCTTTTAACTGAGCCGAGACTGGAAGAAGTGAGAATCTGTCAGTAAAATAACCACTTTCCCAAACATCAAAGTGAACGTTCTCCTTCTGTAGGTGGGGGAAGAGGAGGTTTAACAGTGAAGATCAAATCCATTTACTTCCAAGTGTAAATATTACTCGTCGTCTATCACCGCAGCAACGTTCCAATGTGAAGAATCCATTTCCAAAGACAGAACAGCTCCATTTAGTCTCATTTGCTGTACTGGCCTCCCTACGACAAGATGCCCTACAGATCGCCGGAATCAGACCCACTGCGGATAATCATCTAGATCACAGAAATTGGACTGGTCCAAATGTCACTGGATTACATACAGTCACTTAAAAATTCCCAGTGGTCTCGGTTGTCACAAGATCGTTTCGCTGCACATCCCGAATCCGAACCCCGGAACGCGCGCCGGCCTGAGCGGCGGTGTAACCGCTTTACGCGTAAGCGGTGAGACCGGGATGGCAGCGGGGCAATCCCGGCGGCCAGGCCGAACCGTGCACCTTAGCAAGAGGAAGAGAGGCAGAGCGCCGCCGGGCGCGGAGCTGCGGAGCCGTGACGAGGCGGGCCGGACGAACCGGCCGGGTCCGAGCGGCGCCCAGGCGCCCGCCCACCGCAGGGAGCGGGTCGGCGCGGGAAGCGGAGCGGAGCGGAGCGGGCGCGGGGCGGCCAAGATGCACTAGCCGGAGCGCAGCCCCGCGCCGCGCGGACAAAGGCGGGGCGAGGCCACGCCCCCGGGGCGGAGCCTCGGCCGGAAGGGGCGGGCCTGTGCGCGGGCCCGTCGCCTAGGCAACCGGATGGTGGGCGCCCGGGTTTTCAGAAAGTCCAGATCCGGAGAGTGGGGCGGGGAAGGGAGCGGCGGGGGAGGGGAGGGGCCGAGACAGCACGCGGAGAGACCCCGCGACCCCGGCGACCGCACGCCTGCCCCGCCCCCGTTTGGGTGGTCTTTCCAAGTCGGAGAGCGGACTTGAGAGCGGATGGCAGGGCACATGCGGGAAGGGGTCACGTCGCCCGCCCTCTGCGGGGGCCATGCCCGGCGAGCAGCTCCCCTCTCGGGCCCCTTTGTCTCCAAGCCGCTCGGCGCTTGGCTCCAGCCCGCGACACAAAGGGAGGGAGGTGACGACCGCGCAGGCGCGCGAGGCGCCGAGGCTGCTGGGAGTGGTGGTCCGGCCGCCGAATGGTAGGTCTCCCGCGCGGGCCGGCGGCCGCCCTGGCCGCATAAGTGCGCATGCTCCACCATTTCCGCCCTGCTCGGCCCGCCCTCCCCTCCGCCCACCCGGAGGACGCGGGTTTCTAGTAGTAAGATCCCAGGAGGAGTCTCCCGCGCTCGCCCCGCCTCCTCTTCATCCTGATTGGGCCACCGAGGGGAGGGCGGAAAGCGGATTGGCTCTCGGAGTTGCCCGTCTGTTCTGGGCCGTACTTATGTCCCGCTGCACGGTGGGCCTGGGAGAGTGAGGGGATCAGTGGGGACACGGAGGTGGTGCCTTGGGTATGCGATGGTCTCGGAGGCCGCGGGCTCGCGGCCGCGTCCGTTCCGGCCGGATCTTCGGCGGGGCCGGCCGCCACCGCGCGTCCCCCGGCGGGCTTGCAGCGCCGCCCGCCAGGCTCTGCCTCCAAGTGCGAAACTCCTAGTAAAGTTTGTGCCTCGCGCGCCGCCCCCGCCCCCGCAACCCCCGCCCCCCGCCCCGGCAAAAGTGACAGACAAAGCCACACCCCCGCGCGGCCCGGCCGGTGAGGGGCGTGAATGCGGCGGGGGCGGGGCCCGCGGGGAGGGGGCGCGGGCGGGGGGAGGGGGGGAACGGGGCGCATGCGCGGTGCGGGGCCCCGAATGTTTCCCAAGTGTTTGAAACTGGTATTTGGGTTTTCCACGTTGGACAAGTGCGGCGCGGCGGGCGGCGCGCGCCCCTTCCCGCGCTCGCTCGGCCCCGGCCCCGGCCCCTGCGCCGGGGTGCGCGCCCGCACGCCCGCCCGCGCCCGCCCCGCGCCGCGCGCCGCCGAGCGCCGGCCCGGCCCGCCAGGCGCCGGGTCCCCGGCCCAGGCGGCGCGGCTCGCAGATGTAGCGGCGCGGGGCCGGCCGGAGGGGGGGCGCCGGCGGGCGGGAGCTTTGCATTTTGCAGCGCTGGGCTCCGAGGGGGCGGGGGCTGGAGGAAGCGGAAAGCCGCGCCGAGTCGCCGGGGACCTCGGTGAACCATGTTGAGCCCTGCCAACGGGGAGCAGATCCACCTGGTGAACTATGTGGAGGACTACCTGGACTCCATCGAGTCCCTGCCTTTCGACCTGCAGAGAAACGTCTCGCTGATGCGGGAGATCGACGCGAAATACCAAGGTACGGCGGGATGGATGGGCGGGGGCGGCCGCTCCATCCCCGCCGGTCGCGGCGCGCCGCGGGGCCGCGGGCCGTCCTGTTCCCCGCCCGGGGAGCTGCGGGCCCGCGGCGGCGGCCCTGGCAGGGCAGGAACAAAAGGTCTGGAGCGTCTTTGATTCGCCAAGGTCCTTGTGCGCGAAGCCCGGACACGGAGGAGGAAGGAGGAACGAGAGGTCTCAATGCCAGGCTGCGCGAGCAAAGCGCTCTTTGTAGTGAAGTGACGAGGCGGGGTGCTGCGGGGGAGGGGGCGCAGGGGGCGCAGGCTACGGCGCGGAGGGAGGGAGGGATGTGCGGCGGTCGCCAGGGCTGAGGGGTGCAGGAACGGGGCTGCGCGCAGGGCTGCTGGCGAGGGCGCTGCGGGCCAGGGGTCCCCCGGCCCTGCTCGCCATCCTCAGAGCCACCCCCACCCAGTCCCGAATATGAGTGTTACATAAAGTCCGGGGTCGGTACTGCGCTCGGTGTCCTCCCGGTCGCCCCCGCCCAGTCCCCCGGCCCTCCCGTGGTGCTGGACACCGAGTGAGGGCGACGCGGCCGGGTGTAGTTTGCGGAGGGCCAGGGCTTTATTCCGTGCGTGCGGTGAGGAAGGGGAGGACAGGGAGGGGAGGATGGGGCGAGGAAGTGGCCCATCTGTGCTGCGCTCGGGGGGCGCGGGCAAAGATTGTCGGCTTGGAGAGGAACATGGCAGAAGAGAGGACCTGTGGGTCGTTCGTTCTCTGCAGCCCTTGCCGCCCAGAGTGCCGGAGAGAGGCGGAGGGTTCGCGTCCGCTGGGAATTGTTGGCTGTTGGGGAAACTTTCCTGCCAGGTCAGGCCCGGCATTGGGGGCTGTGTTTGGAACGTGGATCGTCACTCGGAGTTTACTAATGTTTACAGGGCTGCGCAGCAGGGAAACGGAAGAGAGGGGGGAGGTGGAAAGCGACTGTTCGCCCCGAAGCCGATAGAGAACCCCTGCCGGGAAGGCGCCCCTGCGCGCTCTGCCCGAGGCTCGCCTTCGCAGCGACTTTTATAAGAGGCTTATTAGCATATTGCGAACGTTCCGCCTCGGCCTCCTTGTGATTGGCCGTGGCGTTGCCCATGGAATGTCCTTATCAATCTGCTGGTGAGCCATTGGCTGCTGGGCCGGGGCGGGGCGGGCCGTGCGCATTGACTGGCACGGCTCTCTGTTTCCGCTGCCTTCCTTTTTCGCTTTCGTAGAGGGGCGGGGAGGAGGGAGGAGGCCGAGTTGGTTTGAAGTCTTCTTGTTGCCCGGCCTCCAGCCTCGGCTTGGCCATTGGCGCTGCTGGGGCGGGCAGTGTTCTCTGGCCCTGCGCTGTGATTGGCGCTCCGCCTGGCCTCCGCGCTCCTGCTCGGCGGTGTCCATAGGCAGCGGCTTCCGGGGCGGGGCGCGCCGCCCCCTGGCCGCCTCCCCATTGGCGGGCACCGGCCCCGCCCCCGCTCTGGGGCCCGAACCGGCCACTTCCGGTCGCGGAGCAATGGCGGCGCCTGAGGCCCGCGGGCGAGGCTGCCGAGGCTTGCAGCCGCGACTTCCGAGGACGCAGCTCAGGGACGCGCGAGTCGGGGCCGCAGGTGGCCCCGGGCCGCCTCTATGCCGACCGGCGGCAGAAGCGTGAGTGACCGGGGCCGGGGACAGCCGGGCGGCGCCGCGGGTCCTGAGTGCGCTGGGCGCGGGGCTGTAACGGTAGCGGGCTGACTTAAAGGTCTCCACGGTCCGTCTGGAATTCGTCGTCACTAGCATTTAGGACATTTGAAGACGGCAAAGTTTATCTTTATAGTGTTGCAGCGCCCTCGTGTGCACACCCCGTAAGGGGGCTTCCCCCTGTCGTCCTGCCGCCTCGGAACCCGGGCATCTCCGGCGGGCTGAGCACTCGCCGCGGGGCCCGTTCGGGTCCTGCGGGGATGTAAGTCCCACCACGACCCCCACCCCAAGCGAGTGAGCCGGGAAGCCTGCACGTCCGTCATGGCCCTCGTCACGGCTCACCTGGGTGGGGCTCACTATAAAGGTTGAGGTCAATTAAGCTCTTACTTTTAAAGAACAACTGTGTTGCACGCGAAACTTGGTTAACGGTCTTTTGCTTAGGACGCATCAGTTGGAGATTAATTGATAAGGATGATTATAGTTAGTTTACCGATTTTAAATGGTATTTGAGGTTATTTTTGAATTCTTCAAAGTTATTTTTGCATTGTTTTTACATGTTATTTTTTAAATACTTACCCACCATGGAAGTTGGTTTCATAAAGAACTTCAGTGCAAGCCTTATGCAAAATTAAAATGCATTTCTAATAATCAGACAGATCTGATTAAATGTGGCTGCAGTCTCATTTAATCCTTAAATTGTTTTTGTGGTACCGTTGCTTTCCTACGTTGATGTCGGTGTGGAGCAGTTTTATTTTTAGAAGAAAGGGTCAGCAGCGTTTTGAGCTGATGGAGCCGAAGAAGCCGCGTGTCCCGGAGGATGCCCCCCTAGTTAGCTCTCATGGCGTTCCTGTTTAGAGATGCCTATGCGACAGTGCCTTCGGGACAGAGTACTTTGCTTGAGGCGCCTAAGTACATGCAATTGTGTTGGAAACAGAATTACTTCTTAGTAATTTTGTGATGGGGTGTTTCTTTCTTTCCCACAAGTGAGGCTTCTCATGTGTGTAAGCTTGCCTGTGATGTAAAAGAAGCTGTATGTTATTAAATTTTATGTTAGCTGTGTGATAGAATTGTTTTCTTTCCTATGAAATGCTAACATTGTCTTTAGAAATTTGGTTATTGATTAAACCAAATGATAACAGTTTTGTAATGTGCAACCCGTTTAAGAATAAATGGCAGAAACATATTTTAACATCTATGGAATAGAGCTTGGATTAAGTTGGGCATGGCTATTTATTTTCAAAATTAATTACTCTAAGAGATTATAAGACTATGGCATTCCTTCTTTCTGGTGGCACAGTCTACATTGTTCCTCTAGGAAGGTATGGTCAGAGCTATCTTTAGTTTAAGAATATAGCCTGGAAAATAACACAGCGTTTAGGTGACCTCAGTGTCGGCCGGAGTTCCTACGTTTTCTCTAGCGTTAGGTTTGTGCCTTACCACTCTTGAAATCTGGAAGGAGTGATGCTTACATTTTATACGTTTTTCCCCCCACATCACCTCACATACTTCCTAGTTGGAGAGCAGAATTGCCTTATTTTAAGAGACTGCAAAAGAGTTTCAGGAAAAAATCTGATACTATTTAGTTTAATGTAGCTGTTTGGGGAAGATGACTCTGGGAATTTTTATCTGTGTATTTAAATAGGTTTTTGGCCAGAATATTTACTTTTCTTATTTCAATCAGGTTATTTAACAGCTTTCATTTCTTGAGAACTTACCTAGTTACATTTGACAAATTACATGTTAAAATGACATACACTGTCTTCTAACCTGTCCAAGAAGGTTTAAATTTAGTACTGAGGGGTTTTTGTTTTTGATAATGTTTTAAAATCTGTTAACTTTCATAGATATGAATATGTTGTTGTGTTAAGCAATAAAAGCACAGGTAAAATCTGCCACCTGTATTTTAAAGCAAAGCTTATTGTGATAAACCATTCTTGTTTTCAGTAATACAGAGGAATAAAGTGCTAGGAGGAAAACAACGTGACTGAATAACCCAGGGCCTGGGTCACTAAATAGTATTTATAATATACATTCTCCACTTGATTAGGGTGTTGTAGACGTTGGTACATTGAAATAGAGAGAATAAAGGCCTTTAAATTATTCAAAAAATATTTGAGTAAAAACAGTGGAAATATAGGACATAGTCATTCATTTTATAGGAAAAAAAGTTTGGGCCCCAGCACTCCCCCTAAATTTGAACTTTTCCCCTTAATTGCCTATCCCAGGAGTGTTTGTTGCCCATGCTTCTGAATGCACTACAGAGTCCCTTGGGGAGCTCTGAGTGCCACTTAGCTAAATGGGAACCACGTTGACATTTGTATTTAGTTCCACGGATTTTTTTCAACAGGAAAAAAAGGTCTGCTAGAGAGGCCTGCAGGTTATAGGATTTTCATATAAGGAAGCCTTGCGTTCATCATTTCTGTCCTCTGCAATTACTTTTCTGTAGACTAGAGAATTAAATTAAAGGCTCAGTAGTGTTTATAGGTGTAATGCTTATGTTTCCTTTCCAGAAATCCTGAAGGAGCTAGATGACTATTATGAGAAGTTTAAACGTGAGACGGATGGCACCCAGAAGAGGCGAGTGCTGCACTGCATTCAGAGAGCCCTGATTCGGAGCCAGGAGCTGGGCGACGAGAAGATCCAGATTGTCAGTCAGATGGTGGAGCTGGTGGAGAACCGGACCAGGCAGGTGGACAGTCACGTGGAACTCTTTGAGGCGCATCAAGAGGTCAGTGACACCACCGGCCACAGTGGCAAAGCCGGCCAAGATAAGTCCAAGAACGAGACAATCACTCAGGCAGAAAAGCCCAATAACAAGAGGTCCCGGCGACAGCGCAACAACGAGAATCGAGAGAACGCAGCCAATAATCACGAGCACGATGACATCACCTCAGGAACACCTAAGGAGAAGAAAGCAAAAGCGTCCAAGAAGAAGAAGCGCTCCAAGGCCAAAGCGGAGAGGGAAGCGTCCCCCACAGACCTTCCCATCGACCCCAACGAGCCGACCTACTGCCTGTGCAATCAGGTCTCCTACGGGGAAATGATCGGCTGTGACAACGACGAGTGCCCCATCGAGTGGTTCCACTTCTCCTGCGTGGGACTGAATCATAAACCAAAGGGCAAGTGGTACTGTCCCAAATGTCGAGGGGAGAATGAGAAAACCATGGACAAAGCCCTGGAGAAGTCCAAAAAGGAGAGGGCTTACAACAGGTAGTTGGGGGACCTCGCTGAGCAGGGAGACAAGACGGGCCCGTGTATTTATTCCATCGCCACCTCTGGGGAGGCACAAGGACTGTACAGTGTATATTTTTAAAGAATGTTAGAAAAGCAGCCATTCCTTTTGTAGGGATGGCAGTGATTGTCTTTGCCTTTTGTTTTCATTGGTACACATGTGTAACAGGAAAGTGGTCTGTGGATCAGCATTTTAGAAACTGCAAATAGAGGTTTGAATTAAACACTCAAGTGAGTCTCAGACTGATTCTTCTTTTTTTCGGGTGGGGGATGACTTGGAAGCAATCTAACATATTAAATGTGGAAAGAAAAGATTTCATTTAGCTGCTATGTTATTTAATTTTTAAAAAATTAGCCAAGTTGCTAAAAATATAGCCCATAGTAAATTTGTTTCTTGCTATAATAGTGTATATCCATATAACAATTTAATAAAAAGGTTTAAAATTTGAAGATTATTTTTTAAAAAGATAAATGGCTAAATTTTACATGACAAACATTTTGTATACTGGTCCATTCCCCAAATGGTCATTTTTAAATGATTTGGTACATTTTTTATAAAACCAAATAGAAGTGGTCTAGTCATGGAACTTCAGGTTACGCTTTTGCTATCACACATCATAGTGTAGCTGTCTTTAGTTTATTTAAAGTGTATAAATGTACATTTCCAAGTGAACTTGCACTTGCTGTATTATAGTCAGAAGTGCAGCCAGATGCCATGGTGAAACCAAGATGTGTTTCCTGCTGTGTGCACGAGAGCTGTACAGATGTGACGTCAGGAGATGAATGAAACTTGGCCGGTTTGTTCCTCCAGCAGTACATTTAATTTTGACATAAGTAATTTTTAAGTGTTTGTCTTAAAAATTTGTACACCAGCAGTTTAAACAAAGCCTTAAGCAAATTTTGTATTATTGTTGTCACTTAATAATGAAGTAGAAGTTACCTAATTGCAAGCAAATCACTAAGTGTCAAAACAGAATATATATATATATAGATAGATGAGGAGCTGGGGATTCCTGCCTGCAGACGGAATCCAGTCATCATCTGCCTGTGTACTGCCTGTGAGCCAAGAGTGATCTTCACCTTGTTGAATGCTTAACAACTTAGAAGAAGATTCCTAGTTCATGACACATGAAAAGTATATGAAATTCAAATTTTAGTGTCCATAAATAAAGTGTTGGCATACAGCCATGCTCACTCGCTTACATATTGTCTGTGGCTGCTTTTGTACAATGGCAGAGTTGAATAGTTGGGACTGAGACCGGATGACCCCCCCCCCCCCAACCCTCAATTATTTATTTTCTGCCCCCATGCGGAAGAACTTTGCTGACCTCTGATTTAGACTGACCTCTTGCCTGATAACCTGTGTCCTTAATTGCCCACGTAGTGAAAAGGGTCAGCGGAGTTTCCATTTCTGAGTGATAGGTGGTTCACCTTAGGCGTACTATATTGGAGAAGGTTTGTTTCTCTCATAGTGTGTTTTACAGTCTATGAAGCTCCACAAGCAAGAGTTTAGTAACCGCTTAGCATCTAAGGATCATTATGGCATGTGTTTATTATAACTAACACAATAAGTTGTTTTCTGATTGTTCATTTGATAAACAATTATTGAGAACTTTCTTTGTAACAAATGTAAATTCCTGTTTTACAGTGAATTTCCATTATAGAGGGCTATTTGGTAGAGAAATGCAAATTGTAGTTGATGATACGTTAAAATGTGAACTTTTCGCTTATCAATACCTACAAACAGGCATTTACTTTCCAGCAAAACTCCAAAACATTTAAGAATCTTGAGTGCTTAAATTTGATAAGATTTACCTAAACACAAAAGTTGATTACATGAAAATAAGTTAAAATACTAGATAATCTAATGGCAATAAAAGTAGTTTAAAAGAATATTTGGTTAAAACTCTCTTTGCCAGTTTTCACTTCTATTTTAATTTGAGCTAATAATGAAAATTAAGTTATGAGACTAAAGACTGAATGGAACACAGTTGCTAATACCAGATTTCTTCGTATCTGTTCAGTTTCCGTGCAGACAGCTGTCGTGGAGACAAGCACAGGGGCCGCATCTTGCTGTTTTGTACCCCATCTTTGCCCCTTAGGGGTTTGGTAGTGAATAAACTGCTTAACTCTCGATCAATGGTTTTTCACTTTTAAAGTATCTGTTTCATCTAGGGTGATCCTGAAAAATAAAAGGTTCAGTGAGTAAGAGTCTAGCATGTAGTTAATCACATGCTGGATATTTTTTCCCTACCTTTAGTGAAATTTCCAGTGAAGACAAATGTCTAGGCGTTGTTTCTTTTAAATGTAGAACATTACAATGAGCTGGTGTGGACTGAGCAGGCATGGCACGGTGCTCCCGGGGCAGGGGACGTGCAGGGTGGCTCCGTGTCCTGAGAAGGACTGCTGCAGTGACAGGACCCCGGGGCCACCCACGTGGACATTGTGTGGTCATCTCCATACAGGGACCATCAGAGGCTGCGAGTGCTGAAGTAAGGAAGCGTTTGCCAAAGTCAAAGCCTTTTCATTACTGCTATGTGCTTATTTTAGAAAGAATAGGTATTTACTTGAAATAACTTTTTGTATCTCGTGGTCATATAGTTACAGTTCAGGGGAAAATGTAAGATGATAAACCTTTTCATTAGGCACAATTATTAATTTTTTGTCTCTGCACTCTTAAAGACATAATGGGCTTTTGCAGGAGGTCTGGCTCTTCTCCATTGATCTGTCTGATTGAGGATTCTTTGCAGTCATGGCATGTGTAGAACAAGGTTTTGTGGCTATTTTCTGTGTCCCTCTCCGTTTATCTTGGAATCCATTCCTCCTTAATCTTGGGGGCCACGTGGTTTCGGGCGGTTTGGGAGGAAAGCTTCTGGATTTGTCTCATCTGGAGAAATTACTGCTGTTCTCCAGGCTCTTAGTTCTCGTTGCTCTCAGTTCCCATGTGTGTGGAGGGCTCAGGAAGAGAGTGGGAACGAGGTGTGTCGGGAGTCAAGGTGGCCTCTGCAGGTTTTTATGAGGAGCTTTGTTTCCAAATGTTTTAACTGTCCAGTTGTTTTCCTCACAAACCAAACACCAGTGTGCTGTGTCCTCTCCCCCCATAAAAAAGGGTGACTGCAAAGACGGTTTTAACTGGAGTGGAGAAAAGCAGTAAGTCCCTTCTCTTTCCTTGCCTCGACTGCTCTCTCTTACCTGATTTTGATCATCAAGATGGGATTGAGGGCCTGGCCCGGTGGCACAGCGGTTAAGTGCACACGTTCCGCTTCGGTGGCCCGGGTGCGGACACGGCACCACTTGTCAAGCCATGCTGTAGCAGGCGTCCCACATATAAAGTAGAGGAAGATGGGCACGGATGCTAGCTCAGGGCCAGTCTTCCTCAGCAAAAACAGGAGGATTGGCAGCAGTTAGCTCAGGGCTAATCTTCCTAAAAAAATTAAAAGATGGGATCCATACTTTCTCAATTTACATTCCCTGATTAGAAAGAAGAGCATGCAGACTAACAGATTAAATCTTGACTTGTATTAGCAATGCTTCGTTAAACCAGAGTTTCTTTGTTTGGTAAGGAAAATTGGCCCTGAGCTAACATCTGTGCCAATCTTCCTCGTTTTGCTTGAGGAAGATTGTTGCTGAGCTAACATCTGTGGCCATCTTCTATTTCATATGTGGGATGCTGCCGTAGCATGGCTTGATGAGCATTGTGGGTAGGTCAGTGCCTGGGATCCAACCTATGAACCCTGGGCCTCCGAAGGGAGCGCGCAAACTCAACCACTATGCCACCCGGCCAGCCCCCAGAGTTTTTCTAGTAAACAAAACGCTTGTTTAAGCAAGTCAGCTTTAAAGTTATTCAACATCCCTGATATAAAATTAACAGCCACCATTTAACGTCAGCTGTGTGCTCACTCTGTGCTCGGTATTTTGTATACTTTGTGTTAACTCTTTGTAACAACCCTGTCATGTAGATGTTAGTATTCCTGGACAGGATGCCAAGACCCAAGTGACAGGACCTGATTCTCACCAGGCCATACTTCCCTCCCTTGGCTGAAAAACCTCCATCCTCATACCAGCATGCTGCACCAAGAGACCTGCCCAGTGGTCAGGGCCTGGCCCTGTTGGCCCGTACTGATCGAGGCCAGGAGCAGAGCTAAGTGTCTACAGTGATCTGTCTGGGTCCTCACTGCCCTGTGTGGTAGGGAATTACCTTCAACTTAGGACTGAGAAAACTCAAGAAGACCTAAGAAGTGCCTGGTCCAAGAGTGGAGCTGGAATAGGAACCCAAGGCAGGCACAGCCCAGGGTCTTCATTGCTGGGCTTCTTGCCTGAATGAAAGACCTGTGCTACCAAGTACCTCACATGCGCCTGCCTTTCCTCCAGGTGAACCAGTGCACCGTCCAAGCATGTTCCTTGTCGTGTCCTACCGTAAATTTCAGGATTGCATTTCACCCATAAGGTTGTAAGCGCTTTACCAGGGGCAGAGTGCTGTCATAGAATCAGCGTGAGATTTGAAGTCAGAGGTTTGAATCTGGACTAGTTTCCCATGTCCCTTTTCTCAGCCCCTGTCCTCGGGCACTGTGATAATATGTCAGTGATACATGTGGGATACCAGTTATAGTGTGTATCCCACAGCTAGCGGGATCAGCCCAGCTCATGCGTGTAAGTACTAAGCACCATACGAATGATTCGAGTAATATTTTTGGTCAGTTGTGGATTATTCTCTTTAACAGATGTGTTCTGAAAAATGGAATTGAGTTTCCTTACAGCTGGAGAGAAACAAGTCGAGTCCAGCCTAGAAGAAAGTGGCCCCTTCGTCTTTCATCCTGCATGAGAACTAAGTCTGCAGCTGCTTTTCCGTAAATGATTCTGTTTGTAGAACACAGAAGTAAGTAGAGAAATAAGAGTTTCTATTTTCAGCAGCAATCAAAGCCCACTAAACTTCTGTTGACTCACCTCTCGACTGAGTTTGAGTGGACAGAATATGAGTGCAGTCCGTTCCGTGTGGAGGTGAGGATACAGGCTCAGACTGATGGGGCCGCTCAGCAAGTTAACGGGGCCGCCTTGCCTCCTTCTGGGATTGTTCCTCAGGGGCAGCGCCGTCCCGCTGCGTGTGCTCTTCCACGTGTGGGCAGTCGCTCTGCATGGAAAGCCAGAGGCCTTCAATAAAATGTGTCGAATAATAATAAATCTAAGAATCGACAAAGAACAAGACATTTTAAAACATTCTAAAGCATTAGAAGACATTCTTTTTTTTTTTTAGACTTTATTTTTCCTTTTTCTCCCAAAGTCTCCCAGTACATAGTTGTGTATTTTTAGTTGTGAATCCTTCTAGTTGTGGCATGTGGGATGCCGCCTCAGCATGGCTTGATGAGTGGTGCCATGTCCGCACCCAGGATCCGAACTGCAAAACTCTGGGCCTCCGAAGCAGAGCGCGAGAACTTAACCACTCAGCCCCGGTGCCGGCCCAAGAAGACATTCTTTTCTTTTTTTTTTTTAGGAAGATTAGCCCTGAGCTAACATCTGCTGCCAATCCTCCTCATTTTTTGCTGAGGAAGACTGGCCCTGAGCTAACATCCATGCCCATCTTCCTCTACTTTATATGTGGGACGCCTACCACAGCATGGCGTGCCAAGCGGTGCCCTGTCCGGACCTGGGATCTGAACCGGCGAACCCCAGGCCAGCGAGAAGCGGAACATGCAAACTTAAGTGCTGTGCCACGGGGCTGGCCCCCTAGAAGACTTTCTAAACGTTCTATAATCACACCTAAAATGGAGTTTCAAATTGATTTGTGTGAAGGAAATATTTTTAGGATAAATGCATAGGCCATTAGAAATGCAATATTTCTAAATGATTCGTATTCGACAAATTGAATTCGGTTAGATTTTGATCAACCAATGCATTCAATATTTTCTATTATAAAATTTTATAAGAACAAATGCAAATAATTGTTCATAGGGTTTATTAACAATTTATCCATTTAAAAAGATGCTTAGAAATGGTTTGCTGTCTCCCAAATTTATTTTGCATGAGAAATTGCTTGATAAATATTTATGTTTCCTCTATTATTGTATTTAAGCATGTTTTTGTTGCAAGTAACAGTAACTGACTGACTATGCCGTAAGCAGAGATGGAAAAGATCAGAGACGTCTCGGGAAACCCAGGAGGCAGAGCAGCAGAGAGGCCAGGCAGCACGGCTTTCTCTTTGCAGCGTAGATGTGAGAAACGAGCGACGGGAGAAACAGTTTGGCCTCAGTGGAGACAGATCCACTTGGCATCAACTGTGGCCAAGGGGGCAGATGGCACGCTAGACGCTGAGCGGCTGCAAGCCTGGCTTGGACCATCAGGTACTATGTTTAGAGTAAAGCTTTCCATTTTTGAAGTCCTTGCCCTCATAGATGCCATGTTTAAAGTGGATCGTTATCCTGCCACCATGGCAACCAGATTGGATCCGGCTTCCTTCTTTCCCTGTGAGTTGGGATGTGCTCAGGGAATGGAAATTAACTTTTGCATTTTAAGAGTAAGTAAAAATTAGGTGGTGGTGAGGATCATAATTATTCCATGGTCAGCATACGTGATTTTTAACATATTTTTGATTCTTTGCACATTGATCTCCATAAACATGAAAAATTAAAAGTTGACTAGCAGTGAAATACTTGCAGGGCACAAACATCTGCCATAAAGTATCAGTTGGTTGGAGGTAATAACGCACAAGGATGAACTTCCCCAGCGTTCTTCCCCGCTCGTCAGTCAACACGAAAGACCAGCAAGGAGCGTTTCACTTTGCAAATTTTGAAACCTTATTTCTAGACTCGAGAACATCAACAGAAGTGAAAACTGGATTGAGCTCCAGAAGGGAAGGGTGAGAACAGAATGTGTGAGGACAATTATGAAACGGTTTGTGGGGTTTATTTATATTACTCTATATTTCAAACACGATCTGAACATTGACTGTACACTAAGCAATTATCATCATTTATCGAGCTCTGACAGGACGTATTGGTGTGGTGCAAATCTTAGATGAGGTTACAATTCCTGCCACGGAGTTTGCAGTGCAACCTAATCTTTGAAAAATATAAGACAACTAAATAGACCACAGAAGAGCAAATCTGATGATGCCAGCAAAGACTCGGAGTGGCAGGATTACTGTGATTACTGAGGCTGATGTCTCGAGGAAGCAAAAACATGGGCAGACTTACTAATTTTATTTCCTCTTTTACTCCTATAAGGTCTCTTTGTAGGAGGACTCTTCTGACAATTTTATTTATGTTTTTTAATATCTGGCATAGGGAAGAAGCCAACAAATGTCATTTCTGGTGAAGTCACGACAACGCAGTGTGCATGGGGTAAAAAATGGTTCCATCGCCAAGAGCGTTAAGTTGTGCTCGTCAATGAGGCAACTCGGACTTGACAGTTGAGGGTGTCAGGCCAACATTCCTTCAGTGCAGAAAGAGCGAGCAGAGGGTCAGCTGTAGAAGCAAAGGTGTAGACGATGAAATCAAATAGATGACGTGGAGAGACCCAGTGTGCTCAATCCACGGGAACCGCGAAGACCTTCTCGTCAGTGTGGGGGACTGAGCCCCACACGCTAAACATGCTGGACGAAATACACTGAGGGAAAAAGTTTTAAATACATCCCCAGGAGCACACACAGAAAGGAAAATCCCCAGGTGCCTAAGCCAAGGAAACCAGCATAAGAAGAGTCACCAGCTGCTGAAGAGGTGGGCAGGGGACCGAGGGCTGGCCAACCAAAATGCCCCCCTGCTGGCCACAGGGGTGAGTATAAGAATGTACAGTCTGAAGAAGGGCGGGTGCCCCAAGCTCGTCCCTACATATCTTTCCTGGAACTTTTTTCTGGAACTACCAGCACAATCACTTTTTCTCCCTCCACTGGAGCTGCTAAGCTGTGTGGATTTAGAGCTAGGATTCTGGGCATTGGCTTGTC